TTCAAGAGGAGCTCCCATTTTTCAGCAGAGCTCCCACTTTTCAGGAGCTTAATCCAATCCTCTTTGCGAGTGGGACCTGGCCCCAGGTCTTCCACGGCGACAGTTCATTTTCAAGAGGAGTGAACCGAGAAGTGTCCAGAGCACCAATACCTGGCCTCCGGTTGCTGAGGGGCTTCGCGAGTGGATGTTTAATCTACGCGACCTTTTCTGGTAGCCTGGTATTCCTTCCTCTATTGAAGGGTGGAAACCATACCCCTTGGTATCATTTCTTTCTGAGGGTAGTACATGACCCCACCGGGTCTTTGCAACATCTTTCCCCATGCTAAGTCCTCTAGCAACCTTGTTTTTTTTTTGTTTGTTTTTTTTTAACAAAACTTTGTATGCGGGAAAACCCACTTAACGAGGTGATAAGAGCAACCCCGTTAAGTGGGCCCCAGCGTTGAAGGCTCCATCTACTCTTGGGGAGCTGCACCTGCTGGAAATGGGGTCCAGCGTCCTTATACAATGATGTGATGTGTGCCAGCTGGAAATCGGGCCCCCCTATACAATGATCCACAAACATGTCTCATTCCAATCTCCGTCCTCAAGGAGGTGAACCAGTGCTACCCAACGCCAATCGCGCCAAAGTTCGCCCTCATCACTCCAACAGACAAATTCAATCCGCACACGAAACCCTAAACAATCAATCGACTACCTCAACACTATTGGAAGTTGTGGGCCAGGCAACCTTGTAACCTGGAGAGTTTGTTCCGCGCGCGCACACACACACACACACACACACACACACACACACACACACACACACAGAGAGAGAGAGAGAGAGAGAGAGAGAGAGAGAGAGAGAGAGAGAGAGAGAGAGAGAGAGGTGCTTCCCGTGTCGAGCATGGTTGATTTAAATGAAAACAAAAAAGAAGCATTTGTGTGCATCCATGAGGATTCAAGCTCTGTATGCAAATGACAAACAGTTACATTTGTGCATCATGGAGGCACAAGGGCCAGCTCTTGTTCCCTTGTCAGACAAGTATTGCCCTTGCTCCACTGCACAGCATTCCAGATGTATGTGGCACTGATATTTGTCCCAATACATTCAAAACGTTCTATCCGTCTGAAAGTACCTGTTTGCAAACAGTCCAAAATCCGTGTTCCAACGTTGAGTAGTGGATCAAAGGCCTTTTTTTTTTCTTTTTTCTTTTTTTCTTTTTTCGAGTAGTGGATCAAAGGCCTGTATTGTGCAGTTGAAGAATTGGGCAGGTCTTGTTGCATTTCAGATAATTATGTCAGGGAGTTAACGGGCCCCACTCACAACGTCTCAAATGTATCTGGACAGGATGGAGGACTGATACACATTCAACGTGTTTGATGGAGCTCCCAGATGGAGCCCCGATTCTTCTTTAATAACTGTAGATCACAAAGATCAATCAATGGCCAGAAAAACAGAAAGGAACGTTTGCAAGTGGGGCCCTCGCCTTGGCGGTTTTCCTAAGAAGGAAAAGTTTTCCGAGACAGCTGTTCCATGACGTGAAAGAAAAGGTGTGGTGGGGAGGGGGAGGAGGGGGAGGGGTGGGTTAGTTGATTAAACCACCAGTACCTCGCCCAGCTATCAAATCCGAGGCACGGACTACCGGTAGCCCGATCATCCCTGAGCCTCGGACTTTATTGCCGAGCCTCGGACAACTGGTAGTACATCACAGAAAAAGAAAAAAAA